TTTTTACTTTTTTATTAGATCTCCAAAATCGCTAGACCAATTCTTCATCTTGTCAATACAAAAAAAAAGTTTTTTGAATTATTCAAATCGGACGCTCCGTTCTCTTAAAAACTGAGTTACCGTTTTTGGCTCTTTTTGCCCCGTATCTTCGGAACGGCTAGACCTGCCTTTGCCAAAAATTGATCAGCACGTCTCCTTATCAATACGAATCGAATGTTTTTTTTAATTATTCAAATCGGTGTATCCGTGTTTCGGAAATCGTCGACGAAAATTTGTATCCGCACACACACACACGCACATACATACACATATAAATACAGGTATGCCAAAATATTCAGAAACTTTTGAAACGTAAAGATATATAAAAATTTTCAGTTTCGATTTTTTTGCGATTACTATAACTTGCCCTACGGGAAGTTAAAAAGTTGTCTGTATTGGGTGTGCGGCATATGTTTTCCAATTAAGTTTTTATCGCTGTACACGAATCTGCAGTCAAAACTGGTGGTCAAATCGCATAAAATTGAAAACAAATGTCGAAAAACTGCAAAATCTCCGATCTACTAATTGCATTGCATTATCTCTTGCATAATAATCAAATAATTACAAAATCTTATAATTTCTGTCGTTTCCTGGCCTATTTGAGTTTCAATTAAATGATCTATTGATTTTTTTTGTATAATTCCGCAGTAATTTGCAAAGATATTTCTTCCCATATTAGATTTTTGAAAAATTTTAATTTTTTGAAAAAAATCGATTTTTTTTAATATTTTGAAATATTTTGAAAATTTTGAACTCTTTTTGAAGCGTCGAACTAAATATCTAAACGTGTAAACGCCGCGTCGCAGTCTAACGCATAAACATTGGTACGGAACCCCATAGAAATGTAAACAAAATTTGTTCTTATTATTGAAATCTCTGTAAAATATCTGATAAAATTTGATGTGCGTATGCCAAATGATCATTTTTGCCCGCATTTTTTTTTCTACTTTCTAATTGGATTTCCGAGACCACTAGATCTTGCCTTCCTAAATGTGATCATTTTTTATTTGGTCAATACAAATAAAATGTTTTTTGAATTATTCAAATCAGACGTTCCGTTATCTCTAAAACTGAATGACCATATTTGTCACTTTTGCTTCGTAACTTCGAAACGGCTGAAACTGCCTTCGCCAGAAATTAACCAGCACGTATCCCCGTGAATACGAATCAAATGCTTCTCTCTTTAATTATTCAAATCACACACACATATACATTCATCTTTTCTAATGTTTGCCAAAATGTTCAAAATCTTTGAAACGTAAAAATATGCAACATTTTCGATTTTTTGCGATTATCATAACTTATCCTACGGGAAGTTATTAAATAGAATAAGCAGCTCCACTTTTAAAACTCACGACAAACTTTTGGCAAGACCTCAGAGGCTAAAGTATGTTCCACTTATAACACGCCTTTTATTGTTTACTAGTTAATTGGGCGCATGTGAATATGTTACTAGTTAGTTACTAGGTACTCCAGTTTAAATTCCACTGAAGATGACATAGTTTAATTTGCCGAAATATATGAAAATAATGAAGATTATATAATAAATCACTTAATAAGACACATAGAAGGTGTTGCTATGTAATAACATGTGATGAAAGCACCAACTCTAAGAAGATATCTGTCAAAATTTAATGACAATTCGGCGATTAGTTTACTAGTTACTAGGGTTTAAGTGGCGCTACTTTTGAGTTTTTCAAAGTACACGACCACTTTCCGTGCTCAGAAGGATGCTTGCTGTAAACAAAATTTTGCCGAATGAGGAGGTGATCGCCGAATTTTGTGACAAAGGACAAATCGTACTACAATATCGAAAAGTTTGAAGTTCGCTATAATCGGAATATAGATACGAAGGCACTATCCTTTTTTGAATACAAATAAGGATAGTGCCAAAAAGTGCCGAAAATATTATACCTGTATGTGTCTTTAACTGTTTGTGAAATTGGTGTGTCATATGGACGTTGTCGTACGCAGTCGATGATATCTCCAAACATTTGAGTTATTGATATCTTAATCGATCCCATAATGACACGATCGCCATCTTGATATTTGCGTAACACATAAACCTCAATCTGAAAATTACAAACATTACAATTAATTATATCCTGCATATTTAAAAAAATAAATAAAAAAACGTTTCTAAATAATAGAAAATGATCAATGGGACTAATAAACCCATATACAGTCAACCCTCCGTTAACACGGCACTCTGGGTGCACGGTTCCCATATTACGCGAAGCTAAAAATCCGACATCCCTCCGACTACAAGGACTTCCTATTACACGGTTTGTTGTTCAACAGCCCATAAGTTCATTGCGCAATCTATGAGCGATTCTAGGAACTTGATATCAGAAGGGTATTAATGTAAGTTTTGTTATCGACTTCTATCTTTTAGATATGCTTGATTATATAACAGCTGTCTAAGAACACGTTTGAACTGACTGCTGCGTCGCGCCAATTTTTGAATAAGGTGTCTATGTCATACATGTCATTTTGTCCGTATTACTCCTACTTCAAGTTGTATTCCTTGGTCTCCATACAGCACAATAAAAATGGTGCGATTTGTATTAACTCTGAGTCTATCATAGGGCGGTTCCCATACTGCACTATGTAAGTTTCCATGTTAAATATAAGTTTTTTATAGCGCGGTCCCCATACTGCACGGTACGGACTTGCCGCGTTAACCGAGGGTTGATTGTACTAACAAATATAGGTTTTGGTTTTCATTTTGTAGAAGGATAGATCAGTTTGCTTCTTGTCTATTGCAAGATCTATGGACATTCAGGTGCCTATTAATTTGGCATTTTATTATTTATTATTTTGGAACGAAGTGAGTCATTATTTAGCATTTACTCATTCAAAAATCTTTGATTACTTAGACGATCTGAGATTTTGAGTGTTGAAAAATTGAATATTTCGTATTGATAATAATAGATTTTTATTCGACGTGTATATGCATAAATGCAGAGAAAGAGAAAAAACGTAGGTAGTGGTTCTTTAAAGACTGAAGGATATACGTTGACATAGGTTGGAATAGTCGACTTTTATTTACATAATAATTTTTACCTTAAAGTCATCAGCTATCTTTTTAGCTTGCTCATCAGAGAGACCAAATATGCATGATTTTCCTCCTTTGTGAGCTTTTGTAGTACGTGGGAAATCTTTTTCACTTATACCAACAATATGTCCTAAAAATCGAAAAACATATTCGACGCTGTGTTCTGGACAATCCGGAATTGAGACTTCACCCACAACGAACTCCAGTAAGAATAAAGAATTAGTTAAAGAGCCCATGACGGTATTGTTACAAAAAATTTGAATTTTAGTGTAGTTTTAAACGCGATAAATTGTTTCAGGAAGTTGGCTCTGCCAAAATGATGTACCTTTTCATCTGTCAGTGAAAATAATTTATGTCAAGACAATCATTTAAAATTCACAAAGGTCTGTGATGTGATATCATGTGATATAATTGTATATTGCAAAAAATAATGTATACATATTTTTATTTTTTTATGCTTAATATAAGATATTGAAATATATAATTCTATTGCAGCAGCAATATACAATATAAATATATATATATATATATATAAATATAAATATATATACATATATATTACAAATATAAATATTTAATTTATAATAAACTTACTATAGCAAAAGTAAAAATTTAATGTTCTGCGCCATTTTTGCAAAAGCTTCAGTTTAATACAAACATAATCTGCTATTAATTTGTATGGGATATGCCTCCTAAAAAAGGCAAGAAAGAGGATAAAGCTGCAAAAGAGAAAAATGGCGACAAGAAAACTAAAATTACAATTAGGGATCAAGTACGAATGGAGGTAATCATTTTATACCATGTATTCATATCATTCATCGATAGCATATCCTTATTAATTTGGTAATAAAACTAGTGGGGCGCATGGCATCGTGCCTTAAGGCAAATTGCAGGAACTTTCCGTACCAAAAATTATTTTTTTTTAAAAAAACAATTAACATTTTTGAAAAAATTTTACTTTGAAATAATTAGATTTTTGAGAAACTATAAATTTGACAAAAAATTACTTTTTTTTTCAAAAAAAAAAAATTATGTTGGGAAAAAAATGTTTTCTTTATTTTGACATATTTTGGAAATTCTGAACTTTTTTTCAAAGCAATCGTACTGCTTTAACTGCATAGAGACGAAATCTCGAAGCGCGTAAGCGCCGCGTCGCCGTCTAACGGATAAACACTGGTACGGAACACATAGGAATGTGAACAAAATTTATACTTATTGTTAAAATCTCTATAAAATATCTGATAATTTGATGTGCATATGTCTAATGATAATTTTTGACCGCCAAATGGCATTTTTTTTTACTTTTTTCACTAGATCTCCGAAACCGCTAAACCTACCTTCATGAAAATTTGATCAGTTCTTCATTTTGTTAATGCAAGTAAAATGTTTTTTAAATTATTGAAATCGGACGCTCCGTTCTCCTAAAAATTGAGTTACCGTTTTTGGCACTTTTTGCCCTATATCTTCGGAACGGCTAGACCTGCCTTTGACAAAAACTAATCAGCACGTCTCCTTATCAATACGAATCGAATGTTTTTTTAATCATTCAAATCGCATCATCCGTGTTCCCGAAATCGTCGACGAAAATTTGTATCCGAACACACACACATACACGCACACACGCGCGCACACACACACATACACACACACATACATTTATTTTTTCTAAGGTATGGCAAAATGTTCAGAAGGTTTTGAAACGTAAATATATATAAAAATTTTCATTTTCGATTTGTTTGCCATTACTATAATTTTAGAAAATTCTACAAAGACGAATGATAATAAAATTATTTTAGCTGAAAAATAATTTAATCCAATGTAATTGTTTTTCATTAATATTCTGTTTGGTACCTTTTTGAGTTTCTATTGGAGGCGACTTGACGAAATTTTCGATATTTTTCAGTTATTCGACCATTCCTTTTACACAGTGGGATTTCTGATACCCTACACAGATGAAGACGATTTGTATGGCCAACTCTTTGTGAAAGGTGCCGAAAACCATTATAGAAGAGCGGTTATTGCTATTTCTAAGAAAGAAATTTTACTTAGAAATACAAAAGAAAAACAGAAAGGTATTGTGATATTAAACTATAATTACATTTAAATGCTGTGATTATCGAAAGCACTAATTATATAAAGTATATAGAATTAGAAACCAATAGTCGTGCAATGGCTATAGAGATACAACGCAGAATATACGAACGATTATGTGAGGTTCAAGAAATATTAGAGATATCAAGACGCCACCAAGAAGAAGTACATAATCATATGCAATCTTATTGTCCAGGTATGCATTGTTTTGTATGGATTGTTAAGAAAAATTATATTGAAAAATAAGATTGTTAAGAAAAAATATATTGTTATATAGTAATTACTCGAATATGTGCTCTAAAGATAATTATTTATCTATCGGTAAATTCTTGCAACTTGCCTTAAATAAATAAATAAATAAATTTTTGAACATTTTGGCATACCTCAGAAAAAATTGATGTGTGTGTATGTGTGGAGACAATTTTTTGTCGACTATTTCGGGCGTATGGATGAAATTTGAAAAATTCACAAAGCAATCGATTCCTATTGATAATGTATATGTGTTGATTAGTCTTTGGCAATGGCAGGTCCAGCTGTTACGAAGATGCGGAGCAAAGAGTGCAGAAAATATAAACCGAGTTTTTCACAGAACGGAGTATCCGATTTGAATAATCCAAAAAACATTCTGCTTGTGTTGGCAAAACAATAGTTTAGAATTTTTTTTTGTTTCATTTTTTTTTTTGTCAATAAAAATTTTTTGTGCACATTGAAAATATTTCAGATTTTAATTTAAATTAAAATTCTAAAGCTAACTAATATACTTTAAATAAATAATTTTAACTCAATTCAGTAATTCAGTTTATATAATTCTTATAAATATTGGAAAATGTTACAGTATTTATAATAATCTATTTGAAAACATTCCAGCAATTAGCTTAAGGCACAATGCCATACCCCAATAGTTTAGGTATTGATAATAATACATATTCTATGAATGTGCGTCTTTTATATTTCAAACGTAGCAATATCCTAAGAAATAAAATAAGCAAATAATTTATCTAGAGGGCAGTGCCCCTGCTGATGGCGATTCAAAAAGTAAAAGTGGCAAGAAGAGCAAGGTAGATAAAGCAAGTGGTAAGGCCAGTAAAAGTGGGAAAAATGAAAAAGGCAAAATCAATAAGGATGCTCCTAAAACTACCGAGACAACTCAAAGAGCAACGAGTAAGCTTGAGAAGCGCGGTCAAGTCTCAATAGAAAAGAAGTATATCGAAGACGAACCAGTTGATGGACCTAAATTATATATAGTTCTTTATGGATATTACGATACTAACATTTTCAAAGAGCTGCAAAGGTGACTTATTTTTTTGCAAATGGTATAAAATTGTGCTAATGGACTTTGCGAAATAATAGATATTTATTTTTCTTATAAATATTACCATTCTTAAATATCTCTAATTTTTTTTGTTTTATTGTAACATATAAATATTTTTGGAAAGCAGAGTACTTTTTTATTATATTTAAAATTGAAATCCATTGTCTGAGATAATTGTAATGTAATTGATATGCATTTATATATTAAGTATTCAATATATTTTTACATCGAATTAAATTGAATACTATACGAAATAATAATTGAAATATTTTTTCATTATATAGGCTCGACTTACCATTATCTTTTATAATAAAAATAGTTAAAGACGAAGCAAGTCCACCATCAACGCCCGGTGTAAGCGCCATCAGTTCAAAGTCATTTCTTTTGGATTTTACCATATATGCAGAGTCTGAAGAAGAAGCATTTATTGCATCTACTGATTTAGAAAACATTGAAATAAATTCAGATTTAAAAAAGAAACCGTCAAAGGCATCCGAGATTACACAATTTTGGCAAGTCATGGAAAGTGAAAGGTTTGACTTGAAAAAATCTGCTTATCTAAAAGAAGTTGCTTTAGTTCAGTATGGCGCACCAAATTTTGTAGTAAACTTTTATAATAAATCAGTATTACAGGAACAATCAAAGGCAATTTATGATGATATCAGTTATGTGCTTTATGACATTTACGATACATCTTGCCAGAAAAGAAATTATAATTGTAGTATTAAGGAACTTGATGTAGAGGCTATAATGTTTGATTTGGAAGAAGATTCTCCACGAACGCAGGCTTTAGACGAAATTCCATGGGAATATGATACCATACCTTTATTTTTATATCGTATTTTTTGTAAAGTTTGTAATAATATGGACGACCCCTTTTCTGAAAACGGACTAGACAATGGAGCTCAATCAGATGGCAATCATCAGAATTCTACTGTAGACGCAACAATGAATCAAGAAACGTCTTGGCTTGATGCAGAAGATGCTGGGTCTATACTACGAAGTTCTATTTTCAATCCTCAAATGGAAATTCTAAAAGATATAAAACACAAGATAATAGATAGAATGACATTACTCAACAATTATCACGGTATTTGTGATGACCAAACAAATGTGTGTGAAACGAGTGTGGATGGTCCTACATTGTTGAAGTATGGCAATGACATTGATTTTACGTCAGTAAAACTAAATAATGATGACATTTTTATTGGTCACATAGAAATGACGCGCTTGTTAGTATTCTCCTTATTGTGTACTAAATTTCCTGATCCTGATTTAGGATCCCAATTAAAATATCGCTATCACATCGATAAGCTACATCATTCGGTACCAGATAAAGTGTTATATCCTGATGTTATTCGCCGATTATTAAACATTTTGGTGTTTGATCATATCGCATTTGATGAAAATAATAGAAGTGTAGAACGGACGAAATGGCGTCGTAAAGGATGTATGCGCTATACAGATTTACTTAAAACGAATTCGTGTCCAACTTTTAATGCTTTTCAAGGCGCTTCGGAGGCTAGCAATGACTTATTTCCAAACAAATCGGATTTAAAAGTAAATTATGATCCTCAACTAGATATTTTTGAATGTCCTGAGATAGCGCATTTAATTGATGATTATGACATACTTGTTTTCCGTGAAGGACCAACTGCTTTATTTAAATATATGAACGGTTATACCTATACAGAACCATTGATATATGATGTTTTAGTCCAAACACTGGTTAAATCATATGCAAAATTCGATGCCGTTGACTTTGAATATTATCCGCCTAGTGATAGTATACTTGTTAGGTTTTCTAATCCAAACAAAATAGCAGTCGTTGATATTTTTTGTGAGCGTTTATTATCAAAAATTTGTATGCGAGATTTTTTTGATTACATTTTAGACGAAGAACAGAGGTGGCTAGAAATACAAGAAGAAGAGCATGATAGGAACTTGTTTAAGTTAAAAAGGACTATGCAAGAAATACCAGAAGAGATGCAAATAGAAGAAGATTTAACTTGTCTTTCTAGAGACCTACTTGTGGAAGGCTCAATTAAGCATAATAATGAACTTCAAAAACAAGGGCTCATAAATAGTACAACTTTAGAATCTACAACAGCCGATATTAAAAGTGGATTAAAATCTGAAACTATTGGCAAGAAAAAAGACAAAAATAATAAAAAGACTGATGAGATTAATATTAAAACAAAAAATGAAACGCAGGATGAAAATAGTACTTTTAATTTTTTGGTTAACGATACTAATATAAATTCAGAGGAAGAAAATTTTTCATTTTTGGGTTATGATCTAGGCGATACTAGGACACAAGTTAATGGTAAATTTATAACGTTTTACGGCGTAAAATGTAAAATACGAGCAAAGTTTTTAGAATGGATATACCATGGAAAACTCATGTCGATTGAAATTATAATGAAGGATAGCAGCTTGTTTTATCATTGCCCTTTGGGTCCATTATATAAGGAATATGGAAATAATTATCATTTAATTTTAAGAAATAATATAATTATTGCTTTCGCAAATATTTTAAATGATGGTATACCAGAAAAAGGAGTAAGTAATGAAGAAATGCCTTATAATGAGGACGGAATTAAAGTACAGACGAATTTTAAAAACATGAATACAAGTGAAACAGAATCTAATGCAACATCAGAAAATGCTCAAGAAGAAGAAGGTGACCAGGACGAATTGGAAGTACTATATCCTTTGGATATTTCCATACAATGCAGTTGGCCAAATGGATTAAGCATCGATTTTGTTGAACAACAGAGAGAACCATTTTTTATTCGTCAGACAATGTCGCAGCAGCAGTTTACAAAAATGCCTTGCGACAATACTGAAAATAGAACTAGCATGACAAGCAATACAAAGATTCAAAACACGTGCGTGGATTTTCCGATAACAAAACCTGAGTTTCTCATACAGTATAGAAAAGAACACCACCGTATATTTACACGAAGAGGAACCGTTGTTGTGTTTAATGAAGATGAAAGTGTTCTTCTACATACACCATATGGTGCGCAGTTCTGGTTAGCGAGTGAAGACGTGAAACTATGTTCAAATAGATATTCAGTCTACTACAAAGAATTTGACGATTATTTGTATGTATCGCCAATGGGCCATCAAGCAGTTGTGCGAGGAAAAGAGGAAACGACCGCTGATGATTTACTTTTTCGTTGTGCTCATGATTATCTGAGAAGTGAGGTATTCATGCGCCGCGCAGATGGCACCAATATGTTTCTGAACTCAGAGACACTGATCGTTTCGTATGATGATGGAACACGAATTATGTCAACTTCTTTCATAGATGACAGTTACGTTTATATTCGACTTAACGGCAATGAATATAGATCATCTTTAGATTACGATTACAATTCTTTAAGTGAATCATCGTTTAAAAGCGGCTATATATCAAATACAGCCTACGAACCTTGGTCAACCGTATCAATCATTTATAGGATAGATCATCCAGACTATGCTACTATTTATTATGATGAAAGTATGTATGCTACTTTGTTGATGCCAGGGAATGTCAAACTCAATGTTGCATTTAATGGTCATTGTACAGTTGAAATGGAGAAAACCTTCCTAAACGTTACGTCAAGAGAAGTAACAATGCGTTCGTCTATTTGTTCCAATTGTCATAGTGCTTCAAAGGCAACATTATTTTTTTCAAATTATAGGACTGACTCAGATATTCCACGTTATATACTGAAAGCAAAGGATTGCTATGACAAGAAGTTTTACGTAACAAGTGAAGGAAAGTGTTTATGGGATAAAAAGTCAAGTATGGAAGATATTAACAGAAAAGAAAGTTTGAAACCTTGCTGCAAAGCCATTAATCCAAATGATATGGAGAATTTGTTTATAATACGCAGAAATTATGAAGGTAAATAACTATCAATTTATGCAACCATTTTTAGTGCACGTGTATATTCAACACGTAAAATATTGATTAAATAATTATATTAGAACATGTAGAACTTAAATCAGGAAACTGAAATTGTACTGCATATTTATATTGAATTTTTAACAGTTTATTATTTACCAATAGGTGAGCGTTTGTATCATAAAACAGATTATGACAGATATGTAGCACGACTTGATAAAGATATCAAGATGTTTCGCAGTGGTATTACTAATGCTGATTCTGGAATTGAGTGCATGCAGATATTTTACCCGTATAATGTTAATGCCGAAAGTGTAATATAAATTATATTTTTTGTTAAATGTCATTATTTCATACATTAGAGTCCGGATATAATTATCGAATGACGCTCAAAAAGGCCAGAGAATTTAATCACAGTAAAATTTCAGGCATTCTTGTTATGAAAAATATTGTATGCGTTAGATGAATTATGTTTAACTAGCACATTTAATAAAATTAACAAATATAATTCATCATTATAAATGCCATATAAAAATATTGAATAATATAAAGATATTGTAAAATAAAACTTAATTAAATTGTTCAACGATGTATAAAATAACTATTTGTCAGAAGGCCAATTTTTAGTATTACAAGATGCCAAAGTAATATTGATGTCTTACACCAGTTACACAATTATTAACTTCCCGTAGGGCAAGTTATAGTAATAGCAAAAAAGTCGAAAATGAAAATTTTTATATATCTTTACGTTTCAAAACTTCCTAAATATTTTGACATATCTTAGAAAAAATGGTTGTATGTGTGTGTGTGTGCGTGTATGTATGTGTGTGCGGATACAAATTTTCGTCGACGATTTCGGGAACACGGATGAAGCGATTTGAATAATTCAAATAACATTCGATTCGTATTAATGAGGAGACGTGCTGATTAGTTTTTGGCAAAGGCAGGTCTAGCCGTTCCGAAAATACGGGGCAAAAAGTGCCAAAA